CAATACTGATTGTGGCACTTGGTCAATTTGTGGCACCTTCTGTGTGGCATAAACTACTCCGCTTTAGCCTACCCCCTAAAATGGTATGAGCAAAGTAATAGTAATTTGAGTTGCATTCTGAAATTAAACTGTGCAAGGTATCGCATTCGAGTCGAGTGTTTCTATATTTTGCGGGCAATCGCTCGACAATTATATGATTGAGTTGTTGAAACAAACAATAAATGGAAATAATGGAGTAAAAATGAGCTTGTTTATTGAATTTACGCCAAGAGCATACAACACCGAAAATTAGGCTCTTTATTCAAATACTTCATTCAACTGTTTCTCAATTACAACATTGGTTTGAAAAATTTTCACCTTGTTCTCCATTAAGTAATGTATGTTTAAAGTTTTCGCCCTTGAACATGCAGCTAATTTGGTACATTCAATAATTACTATTAAGTGTTCCACCAACTATCTGGAGCCTATCGGCTATTTTTGAGTATATATTAACGCGTAAGTATGAATGTTAATGATTTGCTAATAGCACAGCAGATCGTTGATAAGAAAAAGTGCAATACTTATATATTTACAGAAATATGGGAAATAAAATAGTTGGGGTAATGATGTTTGTGGGATGGAAAATGAGCAAGGGACGCGCAATGCTAAAAGATACAGAGTTCGTTGTGCGGAACAACATCAGATACTCCCTCGAGAATCTATGTAATAAATGGCGATTGATTACTATATCTGTCTTTGCGTCACTGTATCCTATCATTTGATCGATTATTATTATATTGCATATTGATTATTATATTTTTATGTAAACAGTCGTTCATTACGTAATCTAATGGTAATAAAACCAATGCCGATAACTCGCAAAATCGATAAGCGATATTTCTGGCGAAAATTGAGCCGCTTTTATAAAATAATGATGCGATGCATGTATCATAATTAGACCGATATTTCGGAAAGCAGGTGAGAACAGTCACGTCGATCCGACTGCATACAGTAATACAAGAGGACGCTTGTGGCTTCGTGACTATTTTTGAGTATCCAAGCAAAAAAGTATGTGACACATTAGTCAATTCGAATTGTATTATATATTATGTAAATCCCATCTTGATAATGCAACTCTTCACATCCATAAAAGGCAACGAATCTGATTCCCCGCTGTATTAAATAAACTTGTAAAGTTTCCGTAAGCTATTTTGATTCTTTTTCTGTCTATAGCATCTTTAGTAATAAACCTCAAGCTAACCTTTGCTACTGCAGATCATCAATATGACGTTAGTGCAACTTGGTAGAGTAGACTGTAAGTGGTTCATAAAAACCATCAGAGAACATATGTTCTCGATGAAGCTTTGATTCCATCAAATATGCAAGAATTGTTCAATGGAATGTATTGGTGAGTAATCAGCTTGATTATCTCTTGAGACACTAGTCCACCCAACAGTGCAGCCATATTGGGAAGTTCCGACCCTCCCGACCTACAACTATAAATAAAAGAAATAAAGCTGTTAACAACGTTTCGCTAAACAACGCAAAGAAGCTCAATATGGATTTCATACATTTCGTGAATGTAATCATCGAGATCAAGTCCACTATCATCGATTCCCCATTCCTCAAGCAAGGAGGTTACTATCTTCTTCAAAGGATTGAATTCATAAACAAAGCCGGGAGTTACTGATTGCTCGTCGTTATTGCCTTCACCGTCATCTTCATCGTCACCGGAATCCGGTAATGTAGCACCATCTAAAACAGCCAGAGATATAACAATGACTCGAACGGTATACCTTGCATCGAGGATGAATTCGTACCTGGGTAACGTTTAAACGTTTCGTAGAAACGATCCATTGCTCTGAATAAGACATAATAGGCAATAGAATCCTCGGGGTCGCGTAACCATCTATCTGTACAATAAACAATTGTTAAAAAAATTTGTAGAGAATACCAAACTGAAATACAGCATTAGGAAAGCCTAGTGAATTACTGATATCTTCTTTCTTCGGATCACTTATATATTCTTCTTGTAATGATCGATACCGAATAACCTCGATATATGCAGCGTTTTTGCAAAAACTCTCGATTTCTTCATTGGAAATTGAATCAGCCGGACGTCCTAGTGAAGATAGTATTTTATTAACCCGAGCATGCACCACAGTAACGTCTTGACGTGCCTTTTGACGATAACTGTATGGACGCGCAAATGATGATTCAGTTTAATTAGAAGGGAAGAGTCGTAATAAAATACCATCATATCTCAAATAAAAAAACTTACATGTTTTGCAAATTAACATAAGATTGCGTGTATGCTTTCATGTCTGGCAACTTCCCCGAAAGTGGCAACAAGCCAAGACCTTCATTTGCTACGAATTCACGAACAGCTCGCGCGATAATCCAAAAGTTGGATGACTTTTGTAGATTAAACAGTCATCAATTACCCATTCAACTGGATAAAAAATTTACCATGAAATATTAAATATATATAATATAATTGCCAATATTCATTACCTCGACAGTTATGTTATCGCAAAGAGGGTCATTGAGTATAACTTGTACCTTAGAAGGCACCTGGGTGGGGGTACATGCTTTCCAAATGCTGGCAATAGCTTCGTCAAAGTTTTCCTCGTCGGAACTGCGTTTCCCACTGAGAATGGTTTCTTTGAATAAGTTTCTTTCCTGTGCCCCTTTGGGTAATTCACCATTGTGCTTTGTATTTACACACGATAATAATAGTGAGTAGAACGACAAAGAAATACTTTAAAGGTCGAAAAGTATACAGTACATACCTCCTTCTTCCATTGGTTCAGATACTTGACAAGAATCACTACGTATGGTATATGACCATGGTCCATATTATCCATCCCCTCAAAATCAAAAGTTTGTGCGTACGCTTCCAATTCAGGAATGGGTTTATCCAAGCGCAAATCAATTACATTCTCGGGATGCGTCTCAACGACTTGTGCATTTGTAAACCAAAAGCCCGTTACTAAACTGCACCCAACGACGACAACAAACAGATTTTGAATTCGGTCATACTCACTCGTATGTTCTTGCTTCACGATACGGAAATACCCAATAAATCCTGTTGATCTGACAACAACGAGCGGAACCGCCGAATCCCAAAGAACCTGGGCCAATCTAAGAAGCGGTTTTTCTGGAAGTTCGGTGGCGATTACGAGCGAGAATTGCAAAAAGTAATCCGGAGATGTCTCGATAAGATTTATCGGATCCTGATTAAAAAAAAAAAAGCAATCAAGACTTATCAGGGAAAAAGTTCTCGGTGTTTGCTTAGAAACATTTTACAAGAACGAAGGAATTACAGATGTTGAAAATACCTCAACTAAAGAAGAGCCTTTGACATCTTCGTTCAATTCTTGGAGATATTCTGTCACTTTGGCCGCTCGCGGTTGACCGAGAGCCTCAAGAGTCAGGAAGAAATTATTTCCAATATCTGCACCGGTGACTAGTCGTCCATCAACTACCGTGAAAAATCCGATACCTTTTTGAAGAATGCCGCACTTGTTAGAACGAGTCTCCTTCCCGTCAGGTGTATCATGCGTATCAGACAAACTTGCCAGGTAAGACTAAATTTTTCAGCACTTCACAACCCGTAGCGCTTCCATTTATAAGACATACGTTCGAAGATTCAAGAGCAGCTTGTCCAGTGGCTGCCCAGAGGCTTTACGTTGCAGAGATATTGTGTGAGTTGAGCCGGTTGTTAGCATGGGAACTGAAAACATGCATTGGCAGTCAAACGATTATTACCGAAGCTGGCGATCATATTTCTGTGTCTTATCCATGAATTTGTATAATTCAAGACGCGCGTTCGAATGCGCAGATAGTTATTCGAACTAGCCGGACACTTGAAGCAGCGGGCACATCAATTGTGTCACGTGAATCAAGAATGTTCAGATGTCGCACTGACATTTGCCGGTAACACCAGATGGTGAACCAAATACTGTACATATTGATATGATATTCACCACCCTTTAACTCTATGCCAATTATCATTCAAGCCTTATGTGTTATGCAATCGATCCTCACATGTTTTGATAGTATAAGATTTGCAATTTGTATGTCGTAGATATTAATATGTAAACTATTAAGAAACTATAGAATTCCCAACATTAATTAAATAATTGCGTTTCTTCTAACACTGCTACAAATCGATCGGACATTTAATAAATTAATGCCGATAGAGTTGATAGTACATCTAAAGTCATTTCTCGACACAATCTGCATTGTTGACATTAATACAGCCGTGCAAACTCGACTGTGATCGCGGCGTAATTTAGACGCATACAGTAGCGGTCACGGTTGTATCACCTAAACGTACATAATAATAGCTCGTTAAATTTTCCAGGCAAAAGGTTTATGACAATGCCTGATCACACGTAAAATTTCAGCTCGAGCGAATGTTTCCAGCA